TCTCAGCATCATTGAAGTTATATTTCACAATGTATACCCTGCCGTTAAAAAGAATAGGCAGTAAATAATACGTTAAGTTGTATTAAAACCGTCTAAAGCTGTTTTCCTTCATCCTTTCATGCAATTATGACTTTCTTTGAGAAACCTTTTCGTCTTCTTCGATAGTTTTCAGCGTTTCCACGTTTTAATGAGCCGAACCAATTAGTTTTAAGATTATTTACGTCTTGAGCACTTAGTGATAGCGAGATTTAAAAAGATTCAAAATATTTTCGAACGCGGACTCAGCTTAAATGGGTTCAAAGCCGATTTTCGCTCTCCAGATCATTCCTTTTGACGGGTGATCACTGATTAAATCGATAAGGGGAAAATGCTGCTGAGAGAAACGCAAACCAAACGCATCGGCTAGTGTGGTGTGGTGGATAGTTGGTGAGTCCGCCGAAAAAGTATTAGCGGGTTTAATGCCCACCTCAGGTTACTAACTAGCTTTGCTCATATCTCAGGATCGCTGTGGTTGTGATTCACGATGTTTTTTTACGTTTCTAGACAATATCGACGGCATCTTAGGCTCAACATTCTGAACAAAATCATGACGATTTCATCGCAGTTGTTTGTCTGAAATTCTAAAAAGTTTTTCCGTTGAACTTTTCAATTTTTTTTCTGCGACAGTCTTAATTATGAGAGCTTTGAGCTTAGTAACCCACCGATTTCTCAAGAAAACAGATAGTTATGTGGGAAATGTTTCTTTTAAACACTGATTAGAGCTCGTCGCTATGAGCACGCAGCGTAGTTCTCATTTGAAATTGTCATAATCTCTGCCAGTAAGAAATTCTTTGGAAATGAGCATCAAGACGAGTATAAATGATTATTGATTTTTAATTTATTGCCTTATTTATATCATATTATGAAAAATGTCCTCATCGTCATGAATATACTCTTGCATGCTGATAGAGCTGGGAGCATTCTCTACCAAGTCACTTAAGTTGGGAACGAATTGGATATTTACATTGGGGAGCTTACCTAAGCGTAAAACAATCCTATGTAGTGGTAACACAGCATAGCCCGTAGATATATTCTGGCTTAAATGCGGGAATAATGGACCTAGTACTAAAAGTGCGATGCACTTTGTATCCCTCGAGAAAGAAAAGCTCATTGAGCATCATTTCTATTAGACAAAGCTATTTGTTAACTTTTTCTTTCTACTGTCGCTTGGAGATAGGGCTACGATTAGTGGAAGTGTTTATCAAAACACCCTTATAGCTGAAACACGATGACATAACTGAGTTAAGCACCTTAATCCTATAGGGAAACTCACCTCATAATTCTTATTTTCAAAATTTAAAAATTTAAACGGGAGGAGTAACAGTATCTTTTCCTAGTGTTTTTGAATTCACCACCTAATCCTTCTTACTTATTAGAGTTCATTACAATCTCAATCCAATGCGATGTTGAAAGTAGTGGATATGTTTGTCTAAGAGAACAGCCTCAAGAATTCAGGAACGTACACCGAGCAGGCTTATATTACCGCATCAGAGACTAGACGGAAAACACGCGAATCGCTCACCAGCGAAGAGCGAAGATCGAGCGAACCACCCTCCTATGAACATTGTTTTCACTCGTTGATACAGTACAGCAAGCTTGTACATAGTATCTCAGTCATCTGAGAATAAAGAAGAAAAAGTAATGAACCAGCAAGAAGTGCTTTTAAGTTTCTCGTATTCATTAATATGACGAAAAGGTCAAACTGAATAGTTGGTGGATATCTGTATGCACTGTGTCTTTCAAAACAGCACACATCCGTTTCGAAATCTAAGAGATTAAGTAACCAAAATAATGTGGCTGCTCAGCTGTCAACCAAAGACGTAGTTAGTTTACATGCTGTAGGATCAACACTAAGGTGACTTTTGTTAGGAGCTATGAACGTAACTCTTGGCTTCGCTGACTGTACAGTCATCGGAAGAAGGTCGTCTTGATGAACCCCAAACATTTCTCTTGACTTTTATGCTGATATCCTTCCAGATAAGTGGTGTAGCAATTTTCCCAACCCTAATGTATAGGGGTCATGTTGGCTTAGAGCGCCAGGTTGAACCACCTGTGTATTGATTGCATGGCAGCTCTAACTATTGCACCACCCATATATTTTAAGGAATGTTTCGAGCGGTTATTTGATTAAGCCAAACTTGAAGTGTCCACGGATGTACTTCGAATGGAAGATTTCGAGTCGGTAAATGATTTCTTAGATGCCCGATGCATACTATACGAACGAAAACAGAGTCGTTCCTGCCTACACCACTCTTTTTGCGTTTATGGGAGTTGTATCCTTGCACACTACTCGGCTGAAATCCTGAAAACACATGAAAACGAAATATGCAGAAGTGGGCAGTCTCTGGTTTTCTTCAACAACTATCCCAATATACCTCTTGGATATGTCAGTGCACCTTCAACTGTGTGCAGCAAAAGCGCAATGTTTTTGTATTGTTCTGCCACAATGAAAACAGAAATGCTTATTCAGTTGAAACCGAGAAAAAGGCTCATTCTTGGAGCATAGCGAAAAATGCCTATGGTGAGTGTGTTAGGATCATTTTCATAACAGGCCTCCAAAATGATGGCTTATCATAGCCAGACGTACCTAACGGATGTAGGTCAGCGCAGGACTGTATGTTAAAGCATTCGGCCTATTACATCATATTTGATCAGCTTATGGACAAATTACAGGAATAACTGCCGCGACAGAATTATTGCCGTTCTAGAAAAGTTCTAGCCACATTACAGCAGGCCTCCTTCCGATCCGTTAAAGCTTGTGATTATTTTTGGTGACTACCTGAGAGCACTTTAGTACCCCTCTGTACGGATAAAGAATAAAGCTTTCGTGGTTGATCAATCGTTGACGGAAACGTCATGAAATCGATTTTATCAAGATCCCTCAAGACTCTGGCCAACTTCTCATGCGAATGCGACCAGCCCCATGGGTGATGTTGGAATAGCGAAGAGAATCGAAAAAGTGCGGGAGAAACGTAAGCCATGTGAGAGCGAGCCATCTAATTATCCAAGCAAGTAAGAACATTTAACGATCCTTAATGGTATGGCTTGCAATGTTTATTTTCTTCTTACGTGTCTAAAAATGGCTTACCTGTGTTTGTTGTTGGTGGGAAAATCATAGCTTATCCGGATGAACCGCCAACGACTAAGACGATGCCCAGCAACAATATTCTTATCATCTTTTATCAACTACGATTGAAAAGCGAAAAGACATTACTTCTCTTCGGGTGACCGTCACATTGACCCCATTACCAGTTTCTATAGAAAATCACTCGTTCAAATAGTTTGGTAAATTTTGCTTTGTCGTTCATAGTACTAATAAATGTCATTCATGACAAGTCTCAACGAATTCGTGGAAATCCTTCATCAGAAGTAAGACTTCTAGGCACGGAAAAGCTCATATTAGTGGTCTTGTTGCTGAAGAAGGTAAGCAATACGTCTACGAGTAACGCTTACTGAACATTTCTGGCTTTATTGAAGAAATAAGTAGCTTTTTTGCATCATATTACAGCTCTGATAAGAATATGGACCACCTATGAATCACGCCTGTCTTTGAAGTAGTGTTGTGGCAATTTTATAATATTTATTGATGCCCAACAAATAGACTACAGCCTTCTACTGGAGATGCAGTGTTCAAGGTGTGGAACTTTGACGCATGCAGTTGAGAATTCGCTCTCCAGTTGGGTCTTTCAAGCTTAGAACAAGCTACTAATTTCAATTCCAATGAGTCCTTATCTTTCTGAAACAGGTCTAGAAGACTACTTATAATGTAGTGAATTCGTTTCTGTCTGACTCATGGGGAAAGCCACTTCCGATGATGACGATCTGGGTACGCACTGTGAATGTTTTCTCACGACAATAGCAAAAAAGCTGCTTGAATGAAATGGGATCTTGAGACTTAAAGACTTGAAAGACCTGTGAAGATGGAGATCTAGTAAAGTATTTATTATTTTATGCGACCCGTTTTCACGTTTATTGTGCGGATCCCAGCACTTCTCACGTTCGATTCGTTTCCTCGCATCCATTGTCCACGGAGATCTTCCAAGTTTTTGCTTCTGACCTCGGTTGCTGCTTAAGAATTTTCATTTTATCTTGAATGCCATAGAATGCTGGTCGAGTTAATTCTCCCTAGAGCCTTGAGATAGCAAGACTGGAGCGTTCCCAATTGAATTGCAGAGTTGTTTTTTTTCTCGGACGAGTCCGGTACCAATTTCCCGACGCCGAAAGGATGAAAACTCAGTGAACTGGGAAAGTATCGAACCATCACTGTGTTCGTGGTGATCGGCATCACTGCCGCTCTTCTATACCTCTGCTTAGGTAAGAGATTAATAGTAAAAAGTTTCATTTATAAATATAGAAGTGGGGGCTCAGTGTTTGGAGGAGCCTAGACATGTTGTCTTTGCTTCGATCACGCGCTTTGGTCTCACCAAGCCTTCCATCCCTCCGGGATTAATACCATACTTGTCTGGGGGAGGTTAACAGCACTGCTTTGATGCATCGGTAATCCACCGCAAGTCATGTAAGCCAGATATGCATTCGGTTAGATTTAACCATATTCGATGAACTTGAATACATGGCGCATCCCTTAAGGATTGATCAGCACGAAGAGCATTATCCTTTTAATCCTGAAATGTAAAACTAAAATTTCAGACAAATAAATAACGTCTTAGCAAACTTACTATTTAGACGACGGGGAAGTGTGGTAGCTCCTCTTCATGTTTAAGGTGATTCTGTCGTGACTAACATATATCCTGATTAGTTATTTCCTCTCCTTAAATTTCTCATCATTCAAAATTTACCTTACCGGTCTAAATTCTACCGCAGCCGTGATAGTGATATTGACTTTCTGTCTAACTTCGTCCCACTCTCAAATTCTCTCTCTTTCTTCCCGTATGTCTGTCCGCCTTTTTCACACATTTGCATGATTTATATTCTAATTTTCCACTATTTATGCACACATATAAATGCGTTTGAATAAAGTTTATGGGACGAAAAATGGTGGAGATTTCTCGTTTCAGGTGGGTACTGAAGACGTTCTTCGTTGGTCCCCTGTCGTTTGGTTACTAGGCGTTTGTGTAGCCGGTACATTCATGAATTTGATATTCTACTGTCAGAAGAAATATCGAGAACGAAAGAGACGACAGCAAGATCAACAGGTATTGCTGGTAAATAGTAAAAATCACAAATTTTCTAAAAATGATTCATTACAATGGAGAAGTGAAATTGTTACGTGGACTACTTCGTAGTGATGTATTACAGAAAAGTTAAAGGATTCATAAAATTAATGCCTTTTTTAATGTCACATTTTGTACCATTTCCTATACAAAATATTAGAAGTTGGATGTCATAACCGGAGCACCACTCTGTCACAATGTCAGCCAGGCAGGAATTCCACTCCTCATTTTAGCACTGGTCACTAAAAAACGTCTACAAAAATTGTAACTCTGATATGTTCATCGGTCATCTTAGTTTGTTCTACATACTAATGCTTGTTCTGCATGGGTAAAAGTCTCCACTACCCTCTGTTATGATTTGGTTGATTAGCTGAGCTACTCAGAATCTCTGCGCATAAAGCTCTATTTTGAGGACACTTAAAGAAGTGTAATGTTCAGTGCCTAAGATAACGATTGAAATTAGTTGAATATGTCTGGCGATACATCTGTTAAAGAACTTGACGATTTTGGACAAGAAGAGGCTTCGCAATTTTGTAAACACTGTAGTAAGAAAAAGTAAAAAATTCCAGAGATTTCCTCCACTGTGATATCTACCAAATCCGTTTTTTTTCCCACTTTCCATTCAAACTTTTCTTTTACACCACAAATACTTTTCTAGCTCTCTGCCTTGCTTTAAAGATGATTTATCGTTGAATTTTAGCAGGACCTACTGTATTCGCTGGCGATTCCAAGATCGTATCCGTGTTTGGCACCACCTCCTCATCTGGATTGTTGTCGATCATCTCAGATCTCCATTCCTAATCGTGGCCTACCATCCTATGAGGATGTTGTTACACATAAGTTCGAAGTGAGCTTTATATTCATGATTTCAGAGATTTCATTTCGTATTATAAGGGTGCGTGTAGCGCAGTGATCGGAGGCGCCTTGCAATGCACACGAGATCGATCCTGGCGCCCGAGACTCACCAAGCCTTTCATCTTTCGCGTATCGGGAAATTAGTACAATACTTGTCTGGAAGGATAGCAGCGCTGCCTCGATACACCTATAGGTCACCGCGAGTCATTGTAAAGGTCAGACGTGCATCCAATCACCTCCAAACGATGCTTAATGAAGTTGAATCTATGGCCCGTCCCTCAAGTACTGATCACCGCCGAGAGCTTTACATTTATATTTCGTATACTATAGAAAATATGTGACACAGTGTGTAGTGTAATAGCAAAAGATCTCCAGTTTCTTGTGTTTATAAGAAAAGCGATCAATAGCTAAATTGAAGTGAATTTTCCTTCACAATTAGTACTTCACGGTAAAACAACTTACTTTTAAATAAAGAAGATCAGAAAGAGACAAATGCTAGCATTCAATGTTTTTGGCTTCAAACACTCATTAAAAAACTGGCGAAATAAACACTACGTGGTTCTTATAAATTGATCTTCTTAAGCTGACGCAAGGTTGGTACAGCTTATTTATGTGATCTTATGACTACGTGGTTCTATCTGTATGAAAGCCTGAAATTTTCTGGGCACAACGTAGCCAGCCATTCTTCCACCTGAAGTCTTTTGAATACGACTACAATAATGTCAGTCTATTTTAAACAGCGATGCATAAATTAGAGCGCATTGAGAGGTTCTCAACCTTAGTTTCCATAGTAACTAAGGATATTCCCAAGAAAACTCTGACTGATGTGACAATTCCTACACCATTATCCACTTGATTCGCCTATCTCATTTAAGGGCGTTAATAAACGAGTAATTCAAGTGCGCACTAAAATCCCTAGTCGTCCTTGCTGACTTGAGGTACACGAAAGGTCTCATATTTTTGCTATGAGGTCTTCCACTTTTATTATTTTCTAAGAGAAACTAGGCATGGATGGCTTGTGAAGAGTTCTACCATGACATAGGCTTAGCTTTAGCTGAATTTTATGATGGAAATGTCGAACTTATTGCTTAGCAGATACTGATGAACTACGAACCATTTTCGTGTCGGAGTTCAGAACCGAGTAAAAAGCACTAGCCACGTTGAGGCGATAAAACGTTTGTGTAACTAGATTGCCTAAATCTCTCATTAGATGTAAATCGATAATCGATTTAGGACAATTCTTTGCCACCGAATTACGTGGACGCTGTCACAATGATGAACTCGTCGACACCGGTGTCTGTACAGACACAAACCACACAAACAAATCAATCGATAAACGGCAATACCTAAAGTATTTCCATTGTTTCTTAATAAGCATAATGGAAATCTGAACTAAAAACTGGACAACTGTCTACTTAATGGTCCTAGTCGTGTTTTTAGTGCAGCTCATAAAAGATATACCTAAGCGTTTTTTCTTCTCTTTGTGCTTTATGCGGTACATATCGTTTACCTCTATCTACTATCTATCTCCACCTCATCCTACATCACTCCGTTTAATGTTTCGAATATTCGAGCAATCAATATTTTTCTGTTAACTTATAGAAGATAAGCTGGTATAGCTGCTGCTTTTAAGGGCCTAATATTCCGTGTTCACATCAGGGATTCTGATGGATATCCATTATGTATATATTTACATGTCCTCACTTTCGCACTGTCTATTTAAGTGCACTTCCACCACTTCTGAAGCGTTCGTATTGTTTCATTTCTTACATGCGATGTTTATTCACCTATTAACGGGTTAATTATTGGTTTTTAATGAAAGAGTTTTTTCCATAAATGTGTATGGATTATCAGCACTGATGACTAGTATTCAAGAACTCTATCGTAAACAACAAATTGTTTACATACAAAGAGAAATAAGATCAAGTAGGATGTTTCTTTACAGACGGAGATCATTTCATACGTGTACATTGGGAGTTGAATGAACATGAAGAACAACATTAAGGAGTAATTACTTAGCAGGATACAAGTATTGGATGTGTTCCCTTTTATCAGAGAAGCTCGCGGTCAGCTAACGGGCATGGAACTCGGCGATCATCTTTCGATCCAACATTTCTCCCAGCAGGTTCGAAGGTTGTTCCATATTAGAAATCTAGGAGAAAACACAACTAGATGAAAGCATAAAAGCATTAAGCAGGGCGGCCATCTACTGAGAAATATTGTCGATACATGGACGAAGCGAATAGGAAAGTAAAATGTGCACTGGTGTGATGCAAGCTTGTTCTAGGACGACTATGAGTTGTAATCACAATTTTAACCTTTTATTTACTGCCCATTACAATTTTTCACGCAGAGTATTACGCTAGGTGTGATACAACCACAATGAAGCTGAGAAATTTGCAAAACTCCGGACCGCAGATTTCTGCGTTGGGTAATGAACGCGTTGTTGGGCTCCCCAGATCAATACCGTTGATGGGTGATTGTTGATGGCACCGATCGGTAGAAAACTAGCTGAGAGACAGGTGAAACGAATGACCCGCATGGTGTCGTATCGAGCGCATTGGCTCCGGAAAATGTAATAGCGCGTTCGCTCCTCACCGCAGACACCTACGGCCCGGAGTTTTGCAAATATCTATCTCGGCATCATTGTAAGTGAGTTGTGTCCATAACTATAGTTGCTTTATAAATTAGGTGGTGATTTTCGTATATGTTACTATGCTTGAAGCAGGCCATGATCGTGGAAGATGATGGTGAGGGAAAGAAATGAATGAAGTGCGTACTGGGTTTAGAAACATTGGTACTGGTGATGATGGGCCATCCAAATATCGACCAAATATAGTTTTTGTTCGATGCACATAAGTAGCACTACTGTTCTTGTTCTAACAACAACGTCTGGCTATCCGACCAGTGGTCGACTTGTTGGACCTATGAAACCTCGGCCACGACAGTCTCATGACGATCTCTTAGAGTTATGCTGGATAGTTTTATTGAGATGATAGCATTTTGCCGAATACGCCTCAATGCACAATGCATCGATGATGTGTCGCCGCAGAATCGATGGCATTCTGATCTATATAAGTTGGACATAACACCAACTTTTATTCTCTTAACAGTCCAAAGCGTTTCGTAACTCGTAACTATACAGACAGATGGGCGACGGTTCAATGCTTACATTCACACCTGATACTCGTGACATGTTCACTTAAATCAGGTGATGATCATCATATGAGTAACGGATTTGTGGAGGCCAAACATCGTTGCAAACCATTGCACAATAGCCACCAACATCGTTGAAGTTAAACTTCCTCAAAAACAACTATATATTAGACTAGTTAGTTATTACCTTGATACTTTTAACACAGATAGCTAACGTATGAAATGCAGACTAGTGTTGTGTCTATCAAGCATTTGTGTGTGATTCATTTGAGACCGAGCGCTCTGTAACTAGGCGCCAACGAGATTGCATATTGTACTACAAACGGTTAATCGATGAGGTGACAACCATATTCTGGTTAAGGTATTATTAACGTAGGTGGCTTTCAAAGACATAGAGTTAGAAGTCATGTACGAAAATTCGCTACTTCTGCGTAGGAAAATAGTGTCCACGGTAGACGTTAAATGGCGACCATCTCCTTGAAATTACAATATTATGAATATACTTAACATTCGCGAGAAACTGAGACAGCATAGGTCGGCTAGCTCGCTAAGATTTTGTCGAGCTGTAATTGAGCATTAAATGCTAAACAAAGTAAAATAATTTGGCGTCATTCCTCTTATCCAGAATGAGCTTCGATAATATTGTAGCTGGTCTGGCTGCTGTACCTGCTGCTGCTCCTGCGGAAGGACAACATCTACATGATCTCAATAACAAGGCAATCATTCTATTCGACCAGGACATACATTTTTTCATTCTTCGATAATTAAGTGGTTAAATTATTCGACTTATTCGCAGTGCAAGATTCGATTCATGCGGAATCTCGAGATCATTCCTTGAAATTCGTATTACATACCCACGTTACACGAGAATATATATTAGAAAAGACATGGGGCAAAAGGTTAACGCGCTAGGTGTAGATTAACATATGAACATCGCCTCTTCCGTAGCATAACAGAGGTTATTGCAGTTGCTAGTCGACAACAGGCCTTCGAGTCAGTTCTCGGCACCGAATAGTCACTAGCTTTTAGCAGAATGCTCAATTTCGTGAATAAATGCCACGCGGGACTTTTCGTAGTAGTCACAGGGCAATACCTCAAACTTGGGTAATTAAACCTTTATATACATAAATGCTACATCAGTGCAACACCAATATCATGATAGTAACGATAGAGAAGTAATGATAGAGGAATGACACAAGTTAGAGCTCTGAGGTGCTAAGGCCTGTAGTGAAGTGAAGCGAACAATGAGGCAATGGCAGTCAAACATTATTATACCATTGACACAATTTTAACAATAATAATAATAATGATTACAACGAAGTAGCCTTTTCTTAGCCGTAAGCGATGCCGCGCCACGTCTATTCGCGGCCGGTGCGGCGGCTGAGGGAGACAGTATGCTGGGGGCGGAGGGAGGAGACTGTATGCACTGGAGACGGAGACAGTATGCTGAGGTGGTGAGGGTTACAGACTGTACGTGTTTCGGCCAAGCTAAGATTTCACCATTATAGCGATGAGGAGCATTTTTAGTGGATCGATGAGGACTGTAAGTTACATGAGCGTTGACGGTGCTATGGACAGTGAATGATGAGTCATCTACGGAACACAGTCAGACGCGGCTGGTCGTGAATAACGCTATGTCAGCAACGCGAACTTTGAGCATCGATGGGTGCCACCATTGCCTAAGGGTAAGGGCCAGTATGATAAATGGCTACAAAACTGATAAGCCTATAGCGGCTTAGCAGAATACATAGCATAAGTTGGCCGCTTAGCGGTATTGTACACATTGCGTATACATTGTGGGAGGAATGGTATATGCCACCGATGGCGTTGCAAACAGAACGCATTTGGAAACACCCGCTACTACTGACATCGCACCGTAAACAAGCTGAGAAACGAGATACAATAATCTGCTGATTACTGAAGGATGAATGTGAGTGTGTGAATGAGTGTGTTTGAAGGAGAATGAATGATTATGGCTAAGAATGAGTTGAGGATGATTGAGGATGTGGTTGTGAGGAGCGGACTATCCGCCCTACCGATCGGGTGTAAGGTGAGTGATGGCATGTCTCCGCCGTCGAAGGCACCTGGCTTATATCGGCTGCGGGAGCCGCGTGCGTATGCAACCGCGGTTAATCTGGATTGTTGATCCTGGACCGCAATAGACTGTACCTAATTGCCTGAAACA